TCTTTTTCTCCATATACTCTTCCCTCCTTGCATCACTTCTACTTTGTAAAAACTTCTCATATGCCAAATTTTTCTCCCTTACTACTCTCTTTACATCATCATTCCACCAATCGCTCCTCTTCCCTCCCGCACCCACTTTCCTGTAACCACAAACTTCTGCTGAACACTCTAACACTACATTTTTAAACCTACCCCATACCTCTTCGACCCCATTGCCTATGCTCTCATTAGCCCATCTATCCTCCAATAGCTGTTTATATCTTACCCTAACTGCCTCCTCTTTTAGTTTATAAACCTTCACCTCTCTCTTCCCTGATGCTTCTATTCTCCTTGTATCCCATCTACCTTTTACTCTCAGTGTAGCTACAACTAGAAAGTGATCTGACATATCTGTGGCCCCTCTATAAACATGTACATCCTGAAGTCTACTCGACAGTCTTTTATCTACCAGTACATAATCCAACAAACTACTGTCATTTCGCCCTACATCATATCTTGTATACTTATTTATTTTTCAATGATGTCATAAGCATTACTCCCACATGGATGATGGAGCAGCACTACAGTTGCATCAGGACAGAACCAAACACAGGATTCTGGTAGATGCCATTCATTTAATAAATACTGTAACAAAAAGGTATATACATGCTGGCAGGTCTCATCACTTCCATTGTACACACGTTTATATATTAAAAATACTTCCTAAGGACCCAACCTCACTTCTCCTCACACACTGGCATATAACATTATGCTTATTTATCTCACTTTTGACCTCTCCTGAGCCTGACCTTAGGGTGCTCATTAACATTATAAGGCAGTGTATCTGTGTTTTTGTATACTTGATGAAATCCAGTTCTAGATGAAATGTAATGTTTCTTTGCAGTATCTGCTTCACCTGTTGGAAATACACTAATAGCAGTGACTCCTGCTAATACTATGTTTTGCTCAAGACTGGGCTTTATGACATATACAGAAGTGAGCAGCCACACTGCCTCGTGAGGTCAGGCTTGACGAAAGATGGGTCACACACATATTCAGGAAATTGCAAGATCAAGTCTAGGTGAGGTATTGGGGGAAGTAGAGGAGAGGGGTTAAGGTGAGACATGAATTGTGGATAATAGTTCCAACCAACATGTACATTCTACAGGTTTTTCTCAATGGTTTTGGTTAGGTGGCTCATTGCTGCTTCTAAAACTCTGTAGCTGGCCCTGTCATTCTCAAGGTGTAACACTTGTTCTCTTGCCAGACTATGATGAGAGAATGTAGGTTGTGACAGACTACAAATTTTTATCCCTCCTGCAGGTATATCTATGTTACTGAGGGTGTCTGCTAGCCTCCCAACATAGAATTTATCACAACCACCACATGATATGCTGTATATTCCTGCTGTGCAAATAGTTCTGGGTTTAGGGCTTCTGGGGATCTCTGAAGAGCCAACATGGATATATCAGTCCTTACTATCAGAGATCACCAGAAACCCAGAACAATTTGCATAGCAGGAGTGTATAGCATACTGTGTGGTGGTTGCAATAAATTTTATATTGGGGAGACCAGCAGAGACCCTCAGACATGCCTTCAGTAACATAAATATACCTGCAAGAGAGAGAAAACCAACAACACATGTGTAGTCCATCACAACCTACTTTATCACATTATGGACTGGGCAAGAGAACAAATTGAAGATTGAGACACTTATGCAACATATGGGAATCTTTATTAAGGAAATATTTCACTACAGTGCCTTCTTCAGTCCCTCAGCCTGGAATTGATGTGTTCAGTCCATCACTCTAGTAGAAAGTACAGCATATGGCAAGAGAAGTGGCTTATAAACCATACCAAGGGCAGGGTTAGAACCCTTGTTGATCTGAAGTTTTATGACTCTCTGATTACGGGTTCTAACCCCACCCGTGGTATGGTTTGTTTGCAATCGTGTCATTACGATTTTGTGAGTCAATGGCTTATATACTGTAGACAGGCGAGTCGAAGCAGGAGGAGGCGGGATCACAGTAGAACCATCCACTAGTGTAAGTAGGTCTTCATCTAAAGGTTGAACAAGTATTGAAGAATTCCTTGTATTGAGTTCCCATGATGTTGCAGTGTCTGACAGATGTGATAAATGTCAGACACTGCAACATCATGTGAACTCGATACAAGGAATTCTTCAATACTTGTCCAACCTTAGGATGAAGACCTACTTACACTAGTAGATGGTACCACTATGATCCCTCCTGCTTCGACTCGCCTGACTACAGTAGATAAGCCACTTCTCGGGCCCTATCCTGTGCTTTCCACAAGAGTGATAGACTAAACACATTGATTCCAGGCTGAGGGACTGATTACCTCAAACTACCCCTCTCTGCTTTGTATTGGACTGAAGAAGCCAAATGTTACACCATGAGAATGGCAGAGGTCAGATGTAGTTTTAGAATCAGCAGTGATCCACCTGAGCAAAGCAGTGTAATGTACATGTTAGCTGGAACTATTGCCCACAATTTATACAATAAATTTGTCACCCTAAGCCCCCCTAACCCCACCCTGTACTTCCACCAACACCTGATCTCAATTTTATGATTTCATAATTGACCTTTCTCCAAACCTGACATGGTGCTTGTTATAAGGCAGTGTATCTATCCATTCCTGTGTACCTGATAAAGCCCAGCCCTGGTCAAAATGTATTAAATAGGATTCTCTGCTACCAGTGTCTTCACTTTTGCCAACAAGTTTCCCTGTATGATAAATTAGACTTTTTAAGCATTGGATAGGTTTTTTTTATAAGAGGTTTCACCTTCAATGGGGTTTCAAATGCAAAGAAATTCACGAAACACTATCTTATAAAGCACACAAGTGTTTGAGGTCAGGTTGGGGTAGGGGGTGTCGAGACATCAGGTTGAGGAGTTTTGCATTGTGTGTGTTGAGCCTGAAGTGTGTATGATGAATTTTGCTAATTAACTCTCTCAGGATTTCAGTACAGTGGGTAGCAAAAACCCATCACTGGCACTGTTTAAGATCAACAATTAAAACTCATCAACCTGATGTCCAGAACCCAGTCCTGGTAACACCACCTAACCTATCACCACTGACCTCTCCACGACCTGGCATCATCACATACTGGTATACTTTTGTGAATTTCTTTGCTCTTCATAAAGCCCCACTGTGGTTGAAAAGCCACCAAATAAAGGTTTCTGCTTATAATGACTTTGCATTACCATTTACTGGTTTACATTGTCTACCTCTGTGCGATTTGTTTCACTTGCAAGTCATTGTTTTACATGTCGACATTTGCTCTGCTATGTTTCAGTACTACCATCCTTCTTGGGATCTTTTAAACGATCAAGTAATTTTAATCCTGATGTATTACAATCACAACTAAACGCACAAGGCTCATACACCGCTGCAATCCTGATGTAAATCTGCCCAAAATGCTTTGTGTACTGTAAGCTTTTGAAAAAACAGTAAATACTTTTAAAAACCACTAAAAATTACAATATCAGAGCCTCAAATTTGTAAAACCTTCAGTTTTAGCACTGTTCAAAATGCAACCCATAATTCTGGTCTATGCAAGTGTCCACAAATCTGTATTCATAAATGTAATGTGCCATCTGCAAATAAAGATTATAATTATTTATATCATATGTTGAAGCATACTGAAAATTCCAAAATCAGTTAGCGACCACATCTGAAAAACATTTTAAAAATCAAAATATTATAAAGTAAGAAATGCCTTCCAAGTTGTAACCCAGGTACGTATATCTATAAACAGATTCTATTATTAATCGCATCTTTCTTGAGATGGTAATGTTTTGTCAGGAAACTGAAATCTTCTAAGGTGGGGCCTTTGTCAGATGACCCACTTCAACTGAGCAATCGCTGACTTACCAGTGGTTAAATGTCCTCTGGATTACTGAAGCTACATACCCATTCTCAATTATTATAATCATAACTAAGCACTAAAGTACCCACAGTCAAGCATCAGCTGATTTACTGAGGCCATGTGTATGGTCAAGTACTCGCTGGTTAAGTGCAGGTACATTTACCACCCCATTTAAGAAAAAATGGATCCAGTGTAGTGTCTTAGGAAATAAGTGTTTCTATCATTCCTCTTATGAAATGTACTCTCCCTTAGTACCAGAGATCATACCTTGCCTATGCTTGTGTAAGTGATCAATTAAACACGCTTAAAATACTTCGTAGCATGCGATGATTTAAAAAATTAATCTGTTAGAGATATGCAAGCCAGATAAAGTACTATGTACAATATTTACTTAAAAAATTCTGAAATTACTTTTAAAATTAAGATCTTAAATAATGCACTAGAGCAATGTATTAAAAAAAAAAACAAGAGTACTAAGAGGAGACTGAATTGACTAATGTCCAGTGTTCCCAGTTGGAGTGGAAATAAAACGGATGTATAGCTTAATGATAAACAGAAGAGCTATTTCACTGGTCAACTCAAGCAACTGATGTCAAGGGTCTTAGCTAAGGGTTGAAAATAATAGCAGTCCACAAAACCAACTGGGGAGCTAAATCTATACAAACACAACTCTCATTGCCTCACGATTCAAGCTTTCAGTTTTATAATTGTTCAGTATCACTTTGTTTAATTAGAACTAATTACTAATACTGCAATCAGTGCATGCACCATAATTTTCACACCCAGTTTGAAAACCTTTTTGAAGATTAAAGCCAATTGTTGTACTGCAGCATTTCTTGTTTTAGTTCTGCAACCACTACTAAGTTTCACAAAGAATAACCCATTGACAAGATTTTAATAGCCCAAAAATATGAATAGCAAGAAAGAATGAAATAAACCATTTAAAAATCTGTGCTCTTTGGAAAAACACATTTTATGTGCTGTTTCTTTTGTAAAAAAATTTATAAACAACATTGAGATATAAACTATTAAAAAATATTTGTATTCTAGTTGCAATGTTTATTCTCAAGTTAGTTTAGCATCAGATTATTAAATGTGTTCTTTATGTTAGTTGAGCCTGCAAGCTAACCCGATACGTGGAAGCTTGAATCATGGAGGTTGACACCCCCACTTCTGGTCGGACCTCGAGTATAGAAAGTCTCCTGATTGACCGCCATGATACCACCCTCTTGTATTGACATGCGTCCATCGCCATTTAGTTGAGCAACAGGGCCATCGTATGGTGCACGCTCAACCTGCACAGATAAGCGTCTCAGATTTTTAGTACATTTGAAAATAAAATTCAAATACAGATGCTCCTCGCTTTCCAATGGTTCGACTTACAATGTTTTGACTTCATGATGGTGCCAAAATGGCCAAACGCTCTGAGAATTTTGGAAAGATTTAAACATCTTTAATGGTATCAGGATAAACCTGTATTCATTTATTTACTTTTCAATACAGGTGTTTAGTTAGTTACAGTAATTATTTGTTTATTCAGTGACAGTAGTCATTCGTTAAAAGATCGTATATTCATATTCAACTTACAATATTTTCAACTTGCAATGGGTTCATTGGAACTTAACCCTAACATAAGTCAAGGAGCACCTGTACACCAACATACGCAAATCTGTCTACGAGTATTATCTTACCTTGCATGGCGCATTTGCTCGGTCTCTCTCCTGTACTCTGCCATATACATGGGGGCAGTGAGATGGGGTAGGAACAAACTTTCCCATGCCAGACACTGCTCGAACTTCTCCTTCCTCCACCACAACGCGGCCATGGCATATAACATAATCAGCAATACCATGAACTTCCATGCCCTGAAAAATGTATTCTCTATTATTTAGCTATATGGCATTTTTTATTTTAGGAAATAATGTTAAAAACAATAAGCTTTACTTACCATTCATATTTTTCTGTGATTTACAAAACAGAATAAAACTGACAATTTCGGATTTTTTTTAAATACTGTATCCATACCAATAATGGCAAAATTATCCACAAATTATCAGGTAAATGGGCACAGATGCAACTAATGTGGCATTTTATCGTGGCAACATATCGCTCTCCAGGAGCTTTGTCAAGCAGTTACAAACAATACATGGACCTATGTAAATACAGTGGAACCTTGGTACTCGAACTTAATTCGTTCCAAAAGGCTGTTTAAGTACTGAACGAATTTTTCCCAACCAATGTTCTTTTTGGTTGGCTGTTATCACTAATCTTCGTAGGCCCCATGGTGACTTATTTATACAGATAACAAAAACACTCAAAAATACAAAAAAAAAAGAAAAAAAACAATTTACAGCGAAGTTCTGGCAAGTTGTTTTTGTTTGGTTGAACAAACAGTCAACTACCGAGCAATTTTTTTTACTTTACAAGGCGTTCGAATACTGAATTGTTCAAGTAGGGAGCTATTCGAATACAGAGGTTCCACTGTATATATATATATATATATATTATATATATATATATATATATATATATATATATATATATATATATATATTTATAAAACACTCATCTGAGTTTTCTTTGATTTTATCTTAATAGTTCTTGGTCTTATTAATTTTCCTTTTATATCCATGGGGAAGTGGAATAAGAATCTTTCCTCCGTAAGCCATGCGTGTTGTAAAAGTCAACTAAAATGCCGGGAACAATGGGCTAGTAACCCCTTTTCCTGTAAAGATTACTAAAAGAATAAGAAGAAGAAAATTGTCAAAGTGGGAAGTCTGAATGTGCGTGGATGTTGTGCAGATGATAAGAAAGAGATGATTGTGGATGTTATGAAATGAGAAGAAGCTGGATGTCCTGGCTTTAAGTGAAAACAAAGCTGAAGGGGGTGGGAGAGTTCAGTGGAGAGGAATAAATGGGATTAGGTCAGGGGTTTCAAATAGAGTTAGAGCTAAAGAAGGAGTAGCAATAATGTTGAAGGATAAGCTTATGGCAGGAAAAGAGGGACTATAAATGTATTAATTCAAGGATTATGTGGAGTAAAATAAAAGATTGGATGTGAAAAGTGGGTTATAATAAGCGTGGTTTTGCACCTGGGAGAAGAGAGAAGTGTAGAGGAGAGAGAGAGATTTTGGGAAATGTTGAGTGAATGCGTGGGGAGTTTTGAATCAAGTGTGAGAGTAATGGTGGTTGGGGATTTTAATGCTAAAGTGGGTAAAAATGTTATGGAGGGAGTAGTAGGTAAATTTGGGGTGCCAGGGGTAAATGTAAATGGGGAGCCTTTATTGAGCTATGTGTAGAAAGAAATTTGGTATATAGTAATACATATTTTATGAAAAAGAGGATAAATAATATTACAAGGTATGATGTAGCACGTAATGAAAGTAGTTTATTAGATTATGTATTGGTGGATAAAAGGTTGATGGGTAGGCTCCAGGATGTACATGTTTATAGAGGGGCAACTGATATATCGGATCATTATTTAGTTGTAGCTACAGTTAGAGTAAGAGGTAGATGGGAAAAGAGGAAGGTGGCAACAACAAGTAAGAGGGAAGTGAAAGTGTATAAACTAAGGGAGGAGGAAGTTCGGGTGAGAAAATAAGCGACTATTGGCAGAAAGGTGGGCTAGTGCAAAGATGAGTAGTGGGGGGGTTGAAGAGGGTTGGAATAGTTTTAAAATGCAAATATTAGAATGTGGGGCAGAAGTTTGTGGTTATAGGAGGGTGGGGGCAGGAGGAAAGAGGAGTGATTGGTGGAATGATGAAGTAAAGGGTGTGATAAAAGAGAAAAAGGTAGCTTATGAGAGGTTTTTACAAAGCAGAAGTGTTATAAGAAGAGCAGAGTATATGGAGAGTAAAAAAAAGGTAAAGAGAGGGGTGGAGGGGCCCAAAAGGAAGAAAGATGATAGGGTGGGAGAGGCAACGAAGAATTTTAATGAAAAAAAGGGGAAAAAAATTTTGGGAGGAGTTAAAAAATTTAAAGAAACCCTAGGGAAAAATATGGATTTTCAGTTAAAAAACAGAGTAGGGGGTTAGTAGATGGGGGATGGAGGTATTGGGTAGAGGCCCAAGGAATATTTTGGGGAACTTTTAAATGTTAAGGAAGAAACAGGGGCGAAATTTTCATGATGGTCAGGGGTTAACCATTTTTTGGAGGAAAAGGCAAAATGTAAGTGTGGGGGAGGTAGTGAGGCATTAGTAAAATAAAAAGGGGGGGGTTTTTTAAAGCAGTGGAATGAGGGGATCATGACAAAAAATTTTTTTTAAAAGCGGGGGGGGGGTTATAGTGTTGGAGTGGTTGGTTTTTTGTTTAATAAATGTATAAAAGGGGGGGAAGGTCCCTAGGGTTGGCAGAGGCATGTATGTCCCTTTTTAAAGGGAAAGGGGACAAAAGAGACTATAAAAATTATAGAGGAATAAGCTTCTGATTTTTATACGGGGAAAAGTGTACGGTAGGGTTAAAATTGAAAAAATTTAGGGTAAGACAGAATGTGGATTTTCGGTGAGCAAGGAGGGTTTTTGAGTGGGGGAGGGGGGTGTAGATCAGGTGTTTACATTGAAGCATTATGTGAACAGTTTTGATAAAGATAGGGAAGTTTTTTTTTGCATTTATGGATTTAGAAAAGGATATGTAGAGTGGATAGAGGAGAAAAGTGGGGATGTTGCAAATATATGGAATAGGTGGTAAATTATTAAAAAGCTGTAAAAAGTTTTTATGAGGTAGTGAGGGTCAGGTTGGGTGTGTAGAAAAGAGGGAACTACTTCCCCGGTAAAAAGTAGGGTTTTGAAAGGGGTGTAAAGTCACCCTGGTTGTTTAAAATATTTAAGAGGGGTTGTAAAGGAAGTAAATGCTGGGTGTTTGGGGGAGGGGGGTGGGGTTAAAATTTGGGGAATCAAATTAAATGGGAATTTAAAGTTACTTTTTGCTGTTGATACTGGCTTTTGGGAGATTCTAAAAAAAAATTGCAAAGGTTAGTGGATGGTTTGGGAATGTGTGTAAAGGTCTAAAAGTTGAAGCGGTAGAACATTAGAAAAGAGTCAGGTGATGACGGTGTCAAATGCATTTAGATAAAGAAAAATCGATACTCAAATTGGGGAGGAGAGTAAGGAAAAGTGAATGTTTTCAGATACTTGGGAGTTGAAACGGATGTCCGGACGGATTTAATGAAAGGATGAGGTCTATTCATAGAATTAATGAGGGAAAAAAGGTTGAGTGGTGCGTTGAGGATATTGAGAGTCAAAACAAACGTTATCTATGGAGGCAAAGAATGGATGTAGAAAGTATAGTAGGCATGACCCTGGGGGGGGGGGGGGGGGGGGGAGACAGGCGTCATACGGGAAAGTGGGGTGTGTTGAGCTTTGGTGGGGGTGAAAGGTAGGGGCGGAGGGGCATCGGAGATGACGTTGTGGAGTGGGGCAGAGGAGTGGTCCATGTTTATGGGGGACGAAGTGGTGTGGTGTAGAGATAGTATAGGGTGGGCAGAAAAGTAGCGTGGGGGGAGGGAGTGTGTGGAGGAAGAGGGTTGATGAAGAGGAGGGTGTTGTGTGGGGATAAGAAAAGTGGTAGTACAGAGGGGGGCAGAAGAGGGTGGGGTGTGGGGTTTTGGTCAGGTAGGGAGATGGAATTGGGGGTTGCTGCAGTGAGAGAGGGACGATGGTGGGAGGGAGGGCATATAAATCTATAGGAAAGGAAGGCGGGGTAAGGGGTCTCCTCGAAAGCTTGGAGAGAGGGGTACAAAGAGTTTTGTAGGTAAGGGGCTTGAACTTCCAGCAAGCTGGTGAGCGCGTGTTAGATAGGAGTGAATGGAGACGAATGGTACTTATGAACTGACGAACTGTTGGGAGTGTGAGCAGGGTAATATTTAGTAGAAAGGACTTCAGGAAACCGGTTATTATTCATATATCGGAACTTGAGTCCTGGAATTGGGAAGTAACAATGCCTGCACTTTAAAGGAGGGGTCTTTTGAGGGATATTGGCAGTTTGGGAGGGTATGTTGTCTGTAACTTTATATTTTTATCTCTAGACTGTTGTCAAATTCTGAGCACCTCTGACAAAACTACATGATAATGTGCGAGTGTGGTGATAGTGTTTTGAACTGATGAGAAATAAAGCAATTTTCTTTTGGGGAATTTCTTTCTTTTTCTTTCTTTTTTGGGGTCAACAACCTGACTCGGTGGCGAGAACGGCCAGACTTGTTGAAAACAAAAGAAAAAAAAAAAAAAAAATATATAAATATCATATATATAATATAATAACCCCTGTGTCCTTGTATATAATGTATTATAATGTGTCCATGTTACCTGACATATATCCATAGTAAAGCACATATAATTAATTAGGCTATGAAAAATGATAATATTTATATCATACTCAAAAATCATTGAATTCTACAGTTGGTGATGTGTTTCATGTCAGAAATAACTCTTGTGGCATGAGGGTTCCAGACCAACAATACAGCAATCAGAGCCGACTGCAATGCGACGCGGCCAAGCAGTGCAAACGTTGCAAGCGGCAGAGTGGTTAGGACAGTTTTATACTATACTTCTGTTAAAGAATTCGTTTATACTATGATAGGAAAAATTCATAAACCTAAAAATTAGAAATTTTTCTGTAAACTTGAAAATGCTTCAGTCCATTTTGGACTCTAAAAATGATCCATAACAACAAAAAATATATCTCCCAATATAGGTGTACATTGGTCTAATTCTTATATATCTTGTTCTATACACGAAAACCCTAGAAAGAGTAATATACAGATAACAATACCCACATATTAATTTCTTTGGAACAACATCCATTTACACAACAAAGGAAAGATGCACACAAGCAAAGAAACACAAACTATCTCTTAGTTTTAATCCTTTTCTTCTTTCAACAAAC